TCATGCTCTGTCTCTCTCTATCTCTCAAAAATAAATAAAACATTTAAAAAATTAAAAATATATATATTAGGTATAAATTAGGTACAGAAGATGTGACCTTGATTTAAGCCAAGTTTTTTTTTTTTTTTTAAGATATGACACCAAAGCATGATCCATAAAAGAAAAATTGCTTGATTGGTCTTCTTCAGATGAAGACTTTCTGCTCTTCGAAACACACTATTCAGAGAAAGAAAAGACAAGCTACAGGCTTGGAGAAAGTACTTTCAAATCACATATCTGATAAAGGACTTGTATCCAGAATATATAATGAATGCTCAAAACTCAATAACAAGGAAACAACCCAATAGAAAATGGGCAAATAATCTGAATAGACATCTCTCCAGAGGAGGTAAATTGATGACAAATAAGCACATGAAAGATGCTCAGCATCTTTAGTCATTAGAGGAAAACAAATTAAAACCACAAAGAGATATAACAGAATACTTATTAGAATGGCCAAAATTAGAAAGACTGAGTATAACAAGTGGCGACAAGGATGGAACTCTCATACTCTGCTGTTGAAATGCAAAATGATACAACCACTGTATAAAACAGGGACAGTCACTTTTTAATAGACTTACAGGAGCATCTGGGTGGCTCATTGGGTTAAGCAACTGACTTCGGCTCAAGTCATAATCTCTCGGTTTGTGAGTTTGAGCCCTGCATTGGTCTCTGTGCTGTCAGCATGGAGCCTGTTTCTGATCCTCTGACCCCCACCCTTTCTCTCTGCCTCACCCCTGCTCATTGTCTCTCAAATTAAATAAATAAACTTAAAAAAAAAGTTAGAGTTACATATACCAAATGATCCATCCATTTTACCCCTAGGAATTTACACAAGAGAAATGAAAGCATGTTTATACAAAGATTTATACACTAACTCAGAGCAGCTTTGTTTGTAATAGCCCCAAACTGGAAACATCCAAATTTCTGCCAGTAGATGAATGGATAAAAAATTGTGCTGTATCCATACGATGGAACGCTACTCAGCAATAAAGGAACAAATGTTTGATGCATGCAGCAACATGGATGAATTGCAAAATAACTATGCTGAGTCAAAGAAGCCAGACATAAAAGAATATAAGCTGTATGATTCCATTTACATAAGATACAGAAAATGCAAACTAATATATAGTGTCAAAAAGCAAAACTGTTGTTTCAAGGGGGTGGACCACAGAGAGGTGGGAGGGAGGGACTATTCAGGGGCATAAAGAGACTTTTTGGTCGTGAAGGCTATGTTCCCTCTCTTGATCGTGATTAATGGTTTCACGGTTGTGGCTATATGCCAAACTTATCAAACCACCCACTATAAATACATGTAGTTTATTGTGTGTTAAAGTTATTAAAATAAGAATGAAGCCAAAAAGAAAGTAAAACTTTATTGGAATCCATACTAGTAGAAGACATTACTGAAAAACTATGTTATGCAAATTAGTTACAGATACTATTGTTTAAAGTGCATCAGTGGACACTTCTTACAGCAAAGAACCCTTTTGTAAAAGTAATCTTCACTGTGGAATACATCTTTCTTGTGACTCTTAATGTGATATATTGTGTTTCCTTCATCAGGATGAATATCCAGTCTGCTGGGATAATGACACACAATTCTTTTCAAGAGATTTTCATGCGCAACAGTAGCATGATGTTCGCTCTGCTTTGTCTTAAAGTGGCAGAGGGCAATTGCAATAGCTGGCCATATCTACACTTTGGAACACATACAGTTTACCTCACTTGTTAAATTGTGTCTTGTGATCAGATACCTATTCTTCTTGGCATCTTAGCCAAATATCAACCTAGGAGCTTACATGTACTTCATCAAGAGAGCATTGCAGATACTTTAAAATGATTCATTTCCCCTTAACACAAAGCTCAATTAATACTTGAATTGGGACTATGCATATGTGGAAGTTCCTCTCCGGTTGGCTAACAAAATCAAAACTACCAAGTTTTAGAGTGCGTATGTGTTTTAAATGTTTGGGGTGTTTTAAGAGACTTGGCTTTGTTTTCCATAAAGTAAAAGGATCCAGTAAGTGGAAAGTATAAAAGTCAGCTGTTGAATGTGACTTTCCAGATATGTTTTGTGAGCTCATTATGCTGATCATGAATATGCTAATGGACAATTCTCCCTTTTGCCTAGCTCATGGCAGTGAGACACAGGAACCATGATGTTCTTCTCACCTTCTGTATCCGACTCAGGTAGCTATGCTGACCCAGCCTTTCTTTCTTTCAGGGTGTGAACGGCATGTCTGTGGATGAGAAGCCTGACTCCCCCATGTATGTGTATGAGTCCACAGTCCACTGCACCAACATCCTCCTGGGCCTCAATGACCAACGGAAAAAGGATATTCTCTGTGACGTGACTCTGATCGTGGAAAGGAAGGAGTTCCGGGCCCACCGGGCTGTGCTGGCCGCATGCAGTGAATACTTCTGGCAGGCGCTGGTTGGACAGACGAAAAATGACTTGGTGGTCAGCTTGCCTGAGGAGGTATAGTAGTTTGCTTTGTTTGTGTGGCTGCTCGTGGAGGCTTACTAACTTGTAGACAGTTGTCTAAGTAGGTGCTAGAAGGTGGACCCTGGCCCACATTCCTGCCCAAGGGCTTGATGTCCAAGTCACCAACACTGTTAGGTTTGTGGCATAGCCAGTTTCTATGTGATGCATTTAAAATCTCAGAGGCATGAATCGGAGCAGAGTGTCTTTCTTGAAGGGAACTGAATGTCACAGTCATTCATAGTTTCTAGTTCACTTACTCTTCAGGTTTTGAGTAGTGTAGCCAAAGTTTGTTACAGTCCTGGATGTGCGATCTGAGTCACTGGGACTTGTGGCTATGATTTTTCTCTTTCAGATGGTTGAAGGAGCACTTGATTTCCCTTGAGAGTAAAAGAATGAAAGTATTCACAGCGCATTCCTTGCTTGGGGGAAAAGTTAAAGGAGTCAGTAATTTTCACAGTTAATATAGTAGGATTCTAAGAAGTGTAAACTTGCTTTTCTCACCATTGTTGAAAATACCCTACTCATGTTTCTTAATTACTTCAGTGAGCACAGTTATGTCTGTACTTTAGGGACACTAGTAGCTGGACTCATTCTGTTGAGAGTTGACATTCAGCTGGACAGCCTAAGCTGGACGAACTCAAAAGATGGGCTTCATAATGACAGAATATTAAATTGGTCACCCTTCGAACTGTGGATACAATTCCTCTATTTATATAGTCTTTTTTTTTAATTTTTTTTTTGTAGGAGTAATTTGGACATAGTCCAACTTATTCCCCCTGTTGGTTTTTTTTTTTTTTATGTTTATTTGTTTTTGAGAGAGAGGGAGAGAGAGCACACGCACACATGCGCAAGTGGAGGAGGGGCAGAGAGAGAGAAAGAGACAGAGAATCCAAAGCAGGCTCCATGCTGTCAGTGCACAGCATGACGTGGGGCTTGAACCCACAAACAATGAGATCATGACCTGAGCCGAAGTTGGTCACTCAACCAGCTGAGCCACCCAAGGACCCCGCTGCCTCCATCATCGTACCTCCCCTTCATTTACATGGGACGAAGGGTAACACTGAGCAGCCTTACACTTTGTGTTCAGGTCCAGAATCTTTCCTTGTGCATCTACACAGTGTGTAACACTAGGGCCAGGCTGTGCACTGCACAATTTCCCAAGGTACAACTCAAATCCACAGCGTATGCGAACAGAGCTCCAGGGTTGCGCAGTGACCCACAGCAACTCATCAGCTTTTCACAGCAACTCTGAAAGAAGCCAGAGACCCTATGACCCTGATGTGAGGTGCTAATGAGTAAAACTAGCATTAAATCCCAGGGCTCACAAATCCAAATGCCTCCAGAGGCCTGGAAAATAATATAAATAAATAAAAGCAGGTTGTGTATAAGACACTAGGAAGCAGTGGAGCAAGCACCTGCTCCACAGAAAGGCATCCAAATTCAACATAAGAAACAAATATGCAAACAAGTCATGGGGGCTTGGAGGGGAGGGTGGTCACCAGATCCAGTCCCTTGTGAAACATCTGCTGTTAACCCTGCAGAGCAGGAGAGCGGCCAGCTGATAGCAAGGATTGCATAAGCGCTCAACATTTTCACATTAGTATTCTTTTTTATGTACCCACATGAAAGGCTCCAGTATCACTCTTCACACCCCTAAGAAATCTTAAGTAGAAAGATCCCAATACTAGAAGCAAAAGGACAAATTGGTAATTGGGACTGGTGTAGGGAGGGAAGTTTATGTACCAAGTAATGGAGGAAGGCCAAGGAATGGTGTGATCCTGAGCTGGGGTTTCCTCATCCAGGTCAATTGGGTGAACACTTAACCTGTCATTAGGTGAGAGGATAAACATAAAATTTCTCAGCATGGTCTCTATCCCATAGTAGGCATTCATCAAATGTAAGACTCTTTTTTCTCTAGATGGGCACCAAGAATGCCTTGCAATTTATTCCAACTCTGGACTTCCCTGCAAATATTTGGGAAACTTCCAGTTATCCAGAATGGTCTTGGGGAGAAGGTGTGGCTTATAGTTTATTTATTATCTGTATCTTTTTGAGAGCTACTTCATTTATGTTTTTTACTGATTTTCAAAAAAAGGTTATATTAAAGGGGCGCCTGGGTGGCTCAGTCAGTTGAGTGTCCGACTTCGGCTCAGGTCATGAGCTCATGGTCCGTGAGTTTGAGCCCCACGTCGGGCTCTGTGCTAACAGCTCAGAGCCTGGAGCCTGCTTCAGATTCTGTGTCTCCCTCTCTCTCTGACCCTCCCCCGTTCATGCTCTGTCTCTCCCTGTCTCAAAAATAAATAAACGTTAAAAAAAAATTTTTTAAGAAAAAGGTTATATTAAAATATATTTATAAATGAAAATCATATTTTATGTAATTTAGTCTCTCTTCGTTGACAGCCCCATCTCGAGACTTCCTTGACTGTGTGCCCAAAAGCCCTGGCCTGCCCCTGGTTAGCTGTGGGATCCTGATCCAGTCACTTAACCTCTCTGAGCTCCGGTTTCTACCTATAAAAACTCCTCACACTCTGAAATCCTTGAGTTATTTATCATATTACAATAACAAGACAGTAAAATTTAAAGGAAATCAGGATATAAATGCATATGGCATAACTAAGTTTCTTTAGATCAAATCCCTGATAATCACTTATTTCCTTGGTATTAGGGACTCTTTAAAGCAAGAGGTACATTATATAGACATCACACAAAAATCTGCTGTTTGGCCTTTTTGATTGTTTGTATTCCAGCTAAGTGGGAATTTGCTATGTGTTGATTTTCTTTCTTCTTAGTCATGAAAATGATCACTGTTTCTACATTATCTGCATTTCCAAACCATTAAAACCTTCTGGTTGCTCATGTACCTGAAACCTTCAGATATAACTAGATTTTTTTTTCCTTCCTATGAAACATGGATTCATATTGTCAGTAACCCAGCTTTGAGTATCTTGCTGATAGGGCAGGCAAGCCAGCCACAGTTGGCATTTTCCTTTGTGGGTCTATAATTGTTCCTAACGCCTCCTTCCAAAAGAGCCCGCTCCCTCTGCTCAGAGCACCCTCCTGTGGCCCCAAGTGCTAAGCATTGTTTTTCTTCCCTATGTGCACACTGAAATGTCCTTGCAGGCTCTATAGTCATTGTCCACTTGGTTCAGTGAATGACTTTAGAATTTGAATTAAGTAGCGAATAAGCAAACATCCCAAACATTACCTTGGAAAGTAGTTGCTTGGAACTAATTGGCATTTGGTTCATATAACATAAGAAAAAACATTTGAGGGGCACCTGGGTGGCTCAGTCAGTTAAACATCCAGCTTCGTCTCAAGTCATGATCTCATGGTTCATGGGTTCGTGCCCCACATCAGGCTCTGTGCTGACAGCTCAGAGCGTGGAGCCTGCTTCAGATTCTGCGACTCTTTCTCTCTCTGCCCCTCCTGCTCATGCTCTGTCTCTTTCTGTCAAAAGTAAATAAACATTAAAAAAAATTTTTTTCGTTAGCTCCTTGGAAATTTTTAAACCTCATCATAATCCTGTCCCCAGGTTCAAATCAACTTCTGGTCTGTCCCAGCCTTGTTCACACTTGGCCCACCTTACACTTCCTGACCAGCCAGCCTCTGTGCTTCTCAGGGACCCCTCATGGCTGTGCCTGAAAGCTCTTTTTTGGACTACAAAACTTCCAGATACATACTGCTGCCCCTCCCTCTCCTCTACATGGTCAGTCTAGGTCAAAGCCAGCTCTGGTCTCTGGTTGTCCAGTTGTGCAGTTCTACCCCAAAAACGTGACTCCTGATGGGCAGTGTGATTACCAGCAAATTAGAGCCACTCACACTGCCCAGTATAGCCTCTAAAATAAAAGGGTGAGAAACAAAAATAGAGGTCTCCTTCTGGAAGTCAAGAAGTAATTGAAATGTCTTGCTCTTCTCTTTTTCTTTTCTGTTTTTTTTTTTTTTTTCTAAAAATGGAATGACAGATAGTCAGTCCCTAGAGTTTACATGACTTGAGTGTTGGCTCCCTTTTGAAAAACACACCCAAGAATGTGTATCAGCAAATAGTAGAACATAAGGCATTGTACTTAGTACTTTAGTTAAATAATAAAACAGATCATTTAATTTATAATTAGTAAGTGTATTTTGTGCTTACAGATGAAGAGAAAGTGGTCGATGTGCCAAGCATTGCAAGGCCATTACTCCACTGCTCATTAGTATTAAAGCTGGCTCAACAAACACCTCCTTAGCTGTAGTCCTGGAGACCATTTTGGGCTGGATGCCAACCATGCTGGATGGCATCACAGTCATGAAGTTCAGTCTTATGGCATGTCAAGTACAGAGGGCAGGGATGGGGTGTGCTTCCTGTGAAGACATGGAGCCCACTGTGGGTTTGCATATCAACCCTGCCCTTATGGGGCTGCTTGGCTCCCTCCCAGAATGCCAGAGGAAGAGCGGCTGTTAAGAGGTTATTGCCAAGGTCTATTATCAAAAAGTCAAAAGGTAACAAGTATGGGTGAGGATGTGGAGAAAAGAGAACCCTTTTGCACTGCTGGTGGAAATGTAAATTGGTGCAGCCACTGTGGAAGATAGGATGGAGGTTCCTCAAAACACTAAAAATAGAACTACAATGTGATCCAGCAATCCCACTTTTGGATATATATCTTAAAGAAATATAATCACTATCTCGAGGAGATATCTGCACTCCCATGTTCACTGCAGCATTATTCACAACAGTCAAGATGTGAAAACAACTTGTCTATTGACAGATGACTGGATAAAGAGAAGGTGGTATGCATGTGTCTTATTCAGTCTCAAAAAGGAAAGAAATCCTGCTGTTTGCCGCAACATGAGTAAACCTGGAGGACATTATGCTAAGTGAAAGCCAGACATAGAAAGACAAATATTGCAGGATCTCACTATATGTGGCATCTAAAAAAAAAAAAAAAGTCAAAGGATAGTAACAGAGAGTAAATGGTGGTTATCAGAAGCTTGGGGAGGTGGGAGGGAAAAAGTGG